TTCTATATTTTGTTAAAATCTTAAGTAGAGAATTTATAAATAAAAATGCAATATGCTGTAGTAATGACCCCCTGTGCTGGTCTGATGCTAGACTGTTGGGTCCTCCTGGCGTTCCCAGAAGTGAAACACCCTAAACTGGAATGCCCAGCTCACCGACACAACAGTAGTGATACAAAAGGCTTTATTGAAGCTTGAACAAGCCCTAATGGGGAAGTACTGAGTACACAGATTTAACAATGGCAAGAATTAAGCAGGTATCAAATACAAAAACAATTATAGGTGCAGCAAAGTAAACGCTTTTTGTTCTCCTAGCTGCCTGTGAAGCGGCCCTACCAGAACGCGAGCACAAGGGAATGACTAACACACTAATAACAGTTGTAACTGAGGTGAATGTCCTCATAATGTAAAGTAAAACAAATAACAGTGTGGCCTAACTACTGTGTGCAGGCCCTGTCTAGCCACTGGCCAGTAGAGTGATAAACAAGTCTGCCGGCAGTGGGGCCCTTGAACTTGCTTTGGAGAGCTCACCCTCAAAGTGAGAGTATTTCTAATCCATGGGCTATGTAGGGAATACTCTCAAAGTGTCCTGGGCAGAGATATACTAGTGACAGCAAAGTTCTAATAAAGTCAGCAAGTCTCATACAAATAAGGGTGGCCAAAAAAAAAAAAAAAAGAAGATCTCCTGTGGTGCATCCGCAATGCTCAAGCATCTGCCCCTTAAAAAGGGCTGCTTTTTCATGGCAAATTGTAGAATACGTTCTGTAGAACAGAGGCCGCAGAAACTGACTAGTAAATTAACATAATTAACAGGCTGTACAAGTCAGCTGAATGCTCTGGTAGCATTACATAAACAAAGGCATTCATTCGATAAGATACAGCACTCGGCTGCCGCACATCAATTCCTAGCAATAGGGAAACCCTATGTAGTACACTTCATTAGACCGTTTCACCTTTCTGCCTCAACCAGCTGCAATCTGAGCTCATGATAGCGAAATATAGAACACCTTCCCTACAGGGAATTCCTGCTGTACAGAGGTAACATCACATCCATCACATGCACATTAATAGACACCACTGAATGCTGAGAGTACAAAGGGACCTCTCTGGGAATGCAGTGCACACTATAGAGATTGTCCCTGTAATAAAAAAAAAAAAAGGTAATAGAGCGCAGTGTCATCTTTCTTGAGATTGAATTCATCCATGCCCAACTCTCTTTCTGCACCGCCATCTTGTAGCTCCTCTTCAGGGAGTGTTCCTGATATTCCTGCACATGCACAGACATGGCGCAGGGTATTTGGGACTATGCATGCACTGGGAATCCCGAGTGTGCACAGATATGCTGCTGGTTCAGTGACACAATATTACCATATACAGCCTTCATTATATGGGAGCGAATCTTTATCCTATCTATTGCATTGTAAGCAAGTGCTATTGTACAAGCCAACTGTGGAGTAGTAGTTCACTCATAGATCCGGGGGGGGGGGGTTAAAGAAAACATGTAATAAGGAAGCGTGGATCCTCTGTCACTGCTGACCCCTACTCTTGACGTATCATTTTTTCCCTGGCTGTCAACAGTACCAAGAGTGATGAACGGAGAGGCGGACCACTGTGTAAAGTCTTCTCCAGCACATCCCAAAGATTCTCAATGGGGTTATAAGGTCTGGGCTCTGTGGTGGCCAATTGATGTCTCATGTTCCCTGAACCACTCTTTCACAATGTGATCCTGATGAATCCTGGCATTGTCATCTTGGAATATGCCCAATGTGCCATCAGGGAAGAAAAAAATCCATTGATAGAAAAACCTGGTCATTGAATACATTCAGGGAGGCAACTGACCTCATTATATGGGGACATAACGTTGCTGAACCTAGACCTGACCATTTGAAGCAACCCCAGATCGTAACTACCTGAAATTCAGGTGGTGACTTTTTTTGGGCCAGGCTGTGTATATATGATATGATGTGAATCTAGGTATTCATAACGTTAAAGTTATATGTTGGCACTCTATAAAACGGAGGGAGAATTATATATATATAATGCATATTTATTTTTTAAAAGGAGAACTATGGGGTCAGTGTTTTTCCCCATAGTTCTCCTTAGGGTAACGGGAGGACGCTAATTTGTGTCCTCCCGTTACCCTAAGCTCAGTATACCGCGAGCTACAGCTCGCGGTATACTAAGACGCCGCAGCCGGACCGGATCCCGACGTAGATGATGGGATCCGCCCAGCTGCGTGAGTGACAGCTGGCTCTGCCTATCTAGAGGCAGAGCCAGCTGTACCCGCCCCCTCCCCCGTCCGTTCCGCCAGTCAGTGCTGGCAGATCGGAGCGGGGAAGAGGGGAATCCAGCCCTCCCCCTGTCACGGCAGAGAGCCGTGACAGGATCGAGAGGTGAGCAAACCTGGTATGTGTTCGCTCACCTCCCGATCTACTGAGCCGACCTGTGACAGTCTCATTGTCACAGGTCGGCTAGAACTATGAGGTGAATGGAAATCACTCATCTCATAGTTCTCATTTAAGCTTCAAAAATCTAATACAATTCAATCAAAAGAGATTGACTGTATCCATAAACATATTCATATGCTGGGAGTATTGGCTGAAGGCAGCAGGAGAAGAGCAGGACTAGTAATGAACTGTATTAAAGAAAAATGAACAACAAAAGGCAGGGACAGTATAAAGCCATTCTCTCTGCTGTTCCCTGAAAAGCCTCTATTATGATTTTTCTTCGGAATTGAGGACAGATCGGAGAAGCGTTTGTTCTATTTTTCAGTGCTTAGCAATCTGCATGGCACAAAATGATGAAAGCAACGCCATGCTGGACAGCTCCCATGCGGCGTCATTTAAATGAACTGTACGGAGTGATAGTCTACACATTCAATGACAATGCTGAGTGAATGAGTCAGTTTTGTCTAGTTCATTATTTAGCAAGCATCACTCTTCTTTATTACACTGTGTGTATAGAACAACCAGCAGGGTACATTCTAGACAAACACAACGCAAGCAGAGCAGACACAATGCTCGGTAGAGATGTCACTAGTAAGTCAAGATGCCAGAGAGGGATTTAAAACCATTGACCACTGCTGTTGCTGGTTACAACGGGTCGCAAGGGACATACTCAGTGTGCCTTGTATGATAACTAATATGGTTAGTGTAATATTAAGGCTTACCTTAATGGTAAGCAGACTAAGACAGTGGCCTAGCAGGCCAGGAAGTATAAATGCAGTTCCGACTGTGTTGCAAAAGCATCAAACTCGACTACAGTGTGTGCTTTGCTCATCATACAGATGGAATGCTCTCCTGACCGGGGCCTGGTAAGGACATGGGGCCGAACACGATCCACAGCCACGTACTGAACATGGCATGCAACCTAGAGGTCACAGCAGTACAGCCCTTCTTCCACCGACTGGGAATATATGTATGGAGCACCTCAGCTCAGTGCCCATTTTTACAGCCATTGCTATCACCAGATTATGAACAGCTATTACAAGGCAAGGAGCGGTCGGTGTGGCTGACTTGACATGACGTGCAAGGTGGTTTTTCTGCACGGTTGAGATGTTACAAAAATTGTGTCATGTGACAATTTACAACCAACTCACTGCAGTCTTAGGTTAAACTAAAGGTTTAGCCAACATGCTATCCCTGCTGACCCTTGAGAATGCCATTACTGGCCAGCAAGGAACTTCCACTGGATAGTAGGGCAGTGAGTCATAAGGGCTTAAGCCACAAGGGGTTTACTAAAGAGGCTTTTCTGGACAAGAGCGGCAATAGGGGCACCTTTCTGTTTCTGATGGTGACATCTGGGGGACAGGTCCACTTTAAAAAGGCAGTTATTCAGAAAAGCCTGCCTACATCTTCAGCTACCTTCCAAAGCAGCCCTGGAGCATCCAAACCCAGGGAGCTGTACTAAGGAAACAATAAGTTTAGCAAGGAAGTCGACATGATGACCTGTTCCCTGCCGTGCCTCATTATTGGTCAGAGAGGCTGCCAAAGGTATCGATTAGCCAATATTAAGGAGAAGACGACTGAAGATTGCATGCCAAGTGCCAATGTCCAAACTGAAAGTAGTATTCACTTTAAAGACAGGTCACTCAGCAATAATTAACTTCATCATGCTGGCCTTTTCCCTGCCATTACTGTAGGGAGAGGTCGCTCAAGGTATTGACTGGTCAATAGTAAGAAGGGCCATTACTGGTCAGAGAGGCCGCTCAAGGTATTGATTGGCCAATAGTAAGAAGAGTCATTACTGGTCAGAGCAGCAGCTCAGGGTATTGATTGGCCAATAGTAAGAAGGGCCATTACTGGTCAGAGAGCCTGCTTAAAGTATCGATTGGCCAATATTGAGAAGGGTCTTTAATGATCAGAGCGGCTGCTCAAGGTATTGAATGGCCAATAGTAAAAAGGGGAATACTGAAGACGGAGGGCCAAAAGCTAATGTCTAAACTGAAGGTATTAATTGCCTATTAGAGCACCTTTAGTTTTACGTGATGGGGTGTTCCACTCTAAGGGGATCTGCATCTGGCTACTGCTGACATTTTTCATGGTTCTTTACAGATTACCTTTTATGGGGAATCTCTGATATAATCTCCACTGGATTTACAGATCTACAGATCCTTCACTTAGTGTATATCTGTATGTCAGAAAGTGCAATCTGCATGTAGCTGTAAGAAAATTAGTTACAGTAAAAGCCTCCTAAACCGTATATTGTTTTCAGTAATAGTCTATTAACAGAACTCCAATTCCATAGACTTGCACTGAGATGAGAAAAGCAGTAAAGCACAATCACGGTGCTTCAAAAGGAGATGAAACAGTTTTTAAAACAAGTAATAACACAGGTAAAATGATATGCATCTGGCTGATAAAACTCACATATTAATAGGACCCACTGGATAATAAATACTGCCCCATCTGTAAACATACTGAACCTCCATATTATACAACTCACAGTAAGTACATCATCATCCACAATAACTGCACATCGCAAATTAAATATGTCCGGCTTACCAGGTTTTTAAAAAGTGCAGTCAGCTCCTTGGTGAAGACAGCGAATTTTAGAAAAGCGGTCCCCAAGTCAGGGTCATCTCGGCAGACACAATTGCTTCCAAACTTTTCCAGTGCTTGTGTATACTGTTCTTCATTCTCAACATGGGCTATAGAGAGACAACATTAAAATAGTATTAAAAACTCATTTTTAAAAAAAAAAATTAATCCAGATCAAACAAATATACAATCGCCCGGCAAAGTATTGATCACTTACAGTCGTCATGTTTCCAAACAGCTTGCTCATACTCTCTCAGCTCTACTTCCCTGAACTTCCTGATCTGCATAAGATAAGGGACAGAGCAGTCTCCAGGAACTGTCCATCTACTAGCTTGGAGGAGGAAGTGTCTTGCCTTGGTGTGTGGGTGTGTGTGTGTGTGTGTGTGTATAGAGAGACACACACAGCTTACTAGCACACACAAGGGTGGCTCCATAGGACCCTGCAAGTGAAATGATCCACCCTAAAACAGGATATCCGGGCCAGTGCTCAGGGGACCAGCTGATTCTGCAGGAAACTAAAACTTTTATACATCTGAAATCGCTTAAAAGCATTTTGAATTCAATATCACTTTCAACAGTAAACACAGAGCTCTATCAAGAACATATACAGCACTTCCAATGTCTACTATGAGGCTCCATTCAGCTGTTTGTGTTTCCACTTGTCGATCAAGAAAAAGTGGCTTTTGGAATAAACTGATCTGTGTGTAATGGCTATTTTAGATCTTGCTTTGCCCCAGTTGTAAAGAGGATCCATACTGCCATACAAATCATAAGAAAGAGATGCAAAATACTGCACTCTATATCTGAATCCTCAACAACCTTCCAGTGCTGTGCCACCTATCCAGTACCAAGGCACTAGTCATTGAGTATTTGTTGAAAGACTTGGGGGGAGATATACAAGGCAGAGCCACACAATTTGGGTTTCTGCTTAAACCTCAGGTAACCAACCTGCTTCACGAGGGCCACTTGCGGCCTTGTGTAGATCCTAGCAGACAGCAGCGGAGGCAATAATTTGTAAAGTGGCTTTAAAGACAGTGAGCTCTAGAAGTCTCATGAAGCATATCCTCAGTATATGGCTATTTGCTGCACTGTGCCTTCAGTCTCCAGACCAACTGTGTAGCAGTCTCTGATCGTTGCCGCTGGTATGTCTGAAGTCTGACAGTCTTCTGTAATATACTGAATATTACATGCAGCCCTTTGGAGCGGTCAGGAGCAACGGTTAAGTTGACAACCACTGGCTTAAATCTGGGGTGGGTTGTGATTTGTTCTTATTTAACCCCTTAACCCAGAGATGGATAAAAGAATATTAAATTTAGGAGCCAGTTCCATTGACGACAACTAGAGAAAACCTCGAACGTTAGGCACAAACTGTAACTTTTAAGAAGCATTGGCTACCTGGATCCTGGGATTTGTCGGGCCCCGGCTCAATCACTGTACCACCCTTTTGGCACAGACCAGGCAATATGGTGCAGAGAGAGAGAGAGAGAGAGAGAAGAATGCTAAATATTTAAGCAGTGTATGTCACATCACTCTTTATCTTGCTTTCTTCTGAACTTTACTTATCAGAATATGTTCAAGTTTTTACAGATGGACATCATACATTATGTATTCAAAGAAATACAAAGTATACCCGTGCCTTCCAATCTTTATCATTGGTTACTTTTGGTACCAAATATGTTAAGGTTGCCGAGTACTCTTGCTCAATAAAGTCTTCAATGCTGGTTCAGTAAGATGATTTATTTAAATAAATTTGGTCATGCCAGTAAACCTATTAATACTGCATCAGGTTTATAAAGAACCTATAGATATCTGATGGAGCAACTGAGAAGCCCCGACACCCAGGGCATTCTGTTCTATAAATCTCCAGGTTAGTATCATACAAGTAGAAAAAGGAAGATACTTGCTGCACTCCTTACCGGGATTCCCATATGGATATGCAGACGGGAGCTCGAAATGACCTCGGATGGCGCTGCCACTTGAAGATATTTGAAGAACATCACCAGCACACCAGATTAATTACTGCATCAAATGTTCATTTATTAAACAATAAAGGTGATCAGCGCCAGTAAGTGTAATGTGGAAATATGAGCTACCAAGCACTAAGGATATAACTAAATATCTGTAAAATGTGAAAAAACAATATTGTGCCGAGCTAATAATCATACATATCTAATAAATTGAAACATATATAAATGAGTCACATATATGAGCCTTCAAACAAATGAGGCATAAGAAATATCTACACACATACAAAAAAGCAATATAGGCAAAAAAAATTCCCAAGGCAAAAACAAACGCAAACAATGGTGATTGTGCAAAAAATTCCTCAGATGATTCGCAGCCAATGTGCATATAACTCTCAGGTAAGGATAATCACACAATGCAGGCAGACCTTCACCTCCACCCAGTGAGTGATGATAACAAGTGAATGCTCACCTGGGGAGGTAGACCCACAGAGCTAGGTCAAATGCACTTTTTCCCTTCTTAATGGGGGAGGGAAGCCCATGCACAGAAAAAGGCGATAAGGTCTCCTCAGATCACAGGTACCAGTATAAATCCAGGTGGAAAGAGAAAAAGGACAAGGACATAGTGCGTAACGTCCAATAAAATGCAATTTATTATATAAAAAATGCGTACTCACAATGGTGTAAACAGTACAGGCATTGGGTATTGCTGGATCATACCAGCAGGACAAATGGCAGCAAAGTGATATGAAAACTGTTCGTCCGGCTCAGCGTGGTGACATCAGGAGCTCTGCCTATATTGCCTATATTGCTTTTTTGTATGTGTGTAGATATTTCTTATGCCTCATTTGTTTGAAGGCTCTTATATGTGACTCATTTATATATGTTTCAATTTATTAGATATGTATGATTATTAGCTCGGCACAATATTGTTTTTAAAATGCAACCAAGAGAGACGGCAGACGACAATAAATGAACATTTGATGCAGTAATTAATCTGGTGTGCTGGTGAAGTTCTTCAAATGTCATACAAGTAGAAAACACAAAACATCACAAATACTTTATGAACTTAAAAATGGCCGCCAACAAAAAATAATGTTTCATCGTGTTATTCATTCAAGCAAATATTCAAAACATTTGATGGTGCCATCCAGACTTGGCCATAGTTGATTGCAGCACATGCCAGAGGGCACATGGCACCCACCAACCTCCACATCAGAAGCCTCAGAAAGTTACACCATCATCAGCACAAAAAACAAAACAAATCACATTTGAGAATGAGGACATTAAACTGAGCTGATGGGCAATCACATTCCTGCTCCTTTCTGAGACTCTGTCTGCCTTAGGTCCAAAAAATGTCCCCAGCACACCACTTCAACATAAAGCAATACGGTTTTAATGACACATCCATGTGTCATTAAAACCGTATTGCTTTATGTTGAAATGGTGTGCTGGGGACATTTTTTGGACTTTGTGATATTACACGGTGCCATCCATGGTCACTTCAAGCACCCGCCTGGTGCACAGGTGTATTGTCTTTCTATTTAGGTAAGGAGTGTAACAGGACACTTTTGCATATAACTCTGTCTGCCTTAAAACTGAACTGTTGGCTCGTTTTAGGAGCTCTCACACCAGACACAATGGAATACATTTTCATAATGATTCTTTTAGTTGACAAAGGAACGGCAGGCAACAGATTTATCCGAGTTTCCCATTTTAGAACAGAACATACTTATTCTGAAGCAGCAGAAAATGTTGACAGGCTTTCTTACTGGAATGCACAGCTCTCACGGAATAACCCATCTTTTGGACCCAAATCCTTCCTTCACAAGTCTCTCTCTTATAGCATGCAATAGCATAACAAATAGCATAACAAATGAAAGCAGTTGGTAATGATTTCACAGCAAACACTGAAACTGTTCTTTATTTTAAACTGAGTTTTTTGGAATCCACTATAGCTATAACCCTGACAGTACCTCATACTTTTACTGCATTTACTACAGCCCGTGCTACGTAACTTCATCTGTCTCTAAGATTCCTGTATTACCTACCTCATTCAAACTCACAAGGTAGGCTTGAATCTGCTGGCTGAAGGAAACATCTTGGCACGGACATTTTATATTGGTATGTATGTGAGAGATGGCAAGGAGTTGGCAATGGGTGTGTTTGGGAATAGCTCTACTTGCTCATAAGCAGGGGTTCTCAGAATCCAGATTACCAACAAAAAAGGAGTTGGTTGGACACTACGGCAACACATGGATGGAAAGCCAACTGATGGAGCAGGTAAGCTGTGCTCCCTGTCTCAAGGTTTCATTTTCATCTTACCGTTAGGGTTCGTGCACAGATTAAAATAAATAAAAAGGTCAAGTTTAATGCTGAGCTCCAGGTTTACTTACTATGCATACTCACATTGGCCCAGTGTGGCTCAATGTAAGTACTGACTAGCCCATGGGCATTTATTTAGATACATCTATATATATCTATATATCTATATATAGATATATATCTATATATCTATATATATATA